ATCCCATCCCATCCCATCCCATCCCAACCCACCCACCTCTCCATCCGGATTGCTTCTGTCCTCCGCAGTTTCTCCTCCCACGTTTCGTTCAGCTCTGCAATGATCTTCTCTGTTTCCTGGCAAGCATGGGGTTAGCAGGGGGTTAGTGCATACTATGGGCAGCAGACCTGCCCACTCTGCCAGGCTCTGCCCGGCATGCCGCAGCAAGACACTGGTCTCAGTTTCAGGCTGGTTTAAACGAGCCACGGCAGCATTTCACCCATGTCTTTCCATCATCCCCATCTTCAAAGAGCGAGGCATGAAGACCAGCCTCTCCATGGCCTTGCTGCCAGCCTGCTCCTGCGCCACGCTGAGCCATGAGCACCCATTCCAAGCCAGGAGCACCCATCCCGAGCCAGGAGCACCCATCCCGCAGGGCAAAGGCAGCAGTCACCCTGCAGGGAGGATGGCAACACCTGGTGGATTCTACCACGCCAAACCCTCTCCTGTCCGGCAGTCCAGAGCACTGGACAGCTCTGGGTCTGTCCGCTCTGCAAGAGCACGCCCGAGCATTGCTTCCCATGAGCATCAACTGGAACGGGTTTCCAGAAAATACTGAGCCCCCTCCACAAGCCTCAGTGCAAAAGCGCCGAGTTGAGCCCTCCATCCTGCCAGGCACTGGACTCTTACCTTGAGCCTTTCAATCGCCTCTTCGCTACCCGGAGCAAACATGATGCGCTCGTGGAGGCTGGCGACAGAGGCGGCACGGCTGGACAAGGCTGACAGGGAGGAAGAGGGGCTGATCCCGGCGATGGCGTTGGTCACTGTGGAGAGATTGTCATGGCGGTGACTCAGCTCTGCCTCTCTAGCATCATTATTGTTCTCAAAGTCGGACACATCTATGGGTGGGGAAGGAGGGATGGGCCAGGGAAAGACACATGGACAGGAAGAGGAAGAAAGAGAAAGATAGAGACAAGAAAAGCTGTTGGGGAAAAAAAAAGGGTTGCCAGGTGTGGCGAGAAGAAAGCCAGGAATTACAAGGAAAAGGCACAGGCGACAGCACAGCCGTGCAGGCAGCAGCAGAGCAAGGCCATACACATCTCTCCCCCAGCCCAGGCAGCCCGCTGGGAGCACGGGGCTATTTTTGGGAGGCAGCTGCTGGAACAGCCCTGGAGCCTCCCAGGCTCACGGGGATGCTTTTTTGCAACACCAGATCCTGCAGCCATCAGGTCTGGGAATCAAACGTCCTCCCCAGGAGCGTGCCGCTTCCCCTGTCATCCTCCCCCACTGACACAGCCAGGGTGCTTTTCCCTGCCCAGCTGCCCAGATTAGCTGGATCGGGGGCAGAAGTGAGACGGGGAGAAGCGGTGGCCCTCTGCCCTACAAAGGGGTCAGGGGGACAGAGCAGGAGGAGCTGTGGGATCCCCTCGCTGGCAGAGCCCAGGCATCAGCTGCCACCAGACCGCACGGCAAAGGGACCTAGGTATGAGAGATGCTGCTCCATCCCCGAGAAGTCGCAGGGGCTCGGCACGCTGTGCTGGAGGCGGGCAGGGCACAGGTTAGCGGGTGCAGCGTTAGTCGCTCATCTCCATCAGCCCGCATCCAGGGGAGCTGAGCCAGGAGGTGAGGGGCCAGGTCCCTGTCTCCTCAGGGGGCTCACCACAGCCTGGCTGCGCTGCCTGGCCCAGGGTGGGATGGGGCAATGGTGCTTATCCACGGCCAAAAACCTCCTGTTCACCACCACATACCCCTCCATCAGGAGAGCACTGCACCGGCCCGCCCACGCCGGGCTCCAATCCTGACAAGCCCCAGCGCCAGCAGAAGCAGCAGCAGCAACAGCGACAGGAAACATCGTGACAGCATGGAGGAAGGAGTTCCCGTGGGGATCGGGCCCTTGGTACAGCAGATGGGGAGGACACTGGTCCCTCTGAGCGCTACCCCGAGCCCAGGTGCTAACAGCAACTCTGCCACCATCCCCTTTGCCAGCTCCCTGGGGACGGCCAGCCTGCGGGCAAGCGCCACTCCATCAGCTGGGGCCGGCTACAGGAGCCCTTTCCCATGCCACACAGGTGCCCCTGGGCGCAGCCTACACCTCCCCAAAGCCATGAAGCAACAGAGAGTACCAGTGATGGGGAATACACACATTTGGATCCTCCCGCAGCAGGATGGGCTAAGAAAGAGAGAGAGGGCAAGGGGTGGGAGTAAGACAGAGAGAACAGAACAAGAGTGGGTTCATCTCAGTAGGATATCCGACGGCACACGGAGGAGAGGCCGGGGCGGGCACAGCCCCAGGAGCATCTTCCTGGCACCTCTGCCAAGTGCAGGATGCTGAAGACAGGAGGCGGAGGGGGAGAAGGGGAGGTCTGCTGGGTATAAAGCAGCTCCTCCTGCCTACACGAGTGGGCTGGGGGTTGCAAACAGGCATGCAGGGTCTCGCCAGAGGTGTCCCGACCACGCTTCAGCAGCGTGATGCTGCTGCGTGGCTGGCAGAGCAGGATGCAGGGCAGCTGAGGGGATGCCAGACCCGCAGGCAGGGGGGACTCCAGCCCACCTCTGCCTGGAGCCACTGCCAG